CCCACCCACACCCACCCACACCCACCCACACCCACCCACACCCACCCTAATAATTACAATCAACAACTTCGAACAAGAGATGTCAAGATCGTTTTGTTTGATTGCATGAAGTGTTATGTTAAACTTCCACGATGTAAGGTACAGATTTATAAGATAGAGAAAAAAAGCAACCTCATTGAATGTTTTCTTCTTAAATTCATGACATTTCAGATTGAACAACAAGTGTATGATTCCAATTCGCATACTCAAACAAATGTTGGTCGTGAAATACAAGAGTATCGAGAAGAACAAGAAATAGCATTACAAAAACAAGACAATCAAGCAACATCAGAAATTGTAGAAGAAAAAGAAGAAGAAAATGATGGTTTTATAGATTATTTAGATGATTACAATCCAATGAATACTTATATCATTATTGATTTACCATGGCCACAAGCAACAGAGTGATTCAATAGGAAATGATCTATTTCATCACATTTGTACTTATATTCTTCATATACATTATAATATTTCTTCTGGTGATAATGTTAGGCTACAGTGTAAATGTTCAAACCGTAACAACGTTTTTTTTCTTTATGTTATCTGTTTTTTGTCATTTTCTTTCTTCTATTGTTATACCTATATTCATTATATTCTGTAGTTCTCATAGTTATTTATTCTTTTTCTAGATACATTGTTATATTATTGCACACAAACAAAGATATTTTCTACGTATATTATCCTCTTATACTCACTATTGATAAAAGAGTTAAATAGAGAAGTAAAATATTTAAACATGAACTTATTTGTAATATGCATGGATATTTATGATTCAGCTCTTTAAACAGATATGAATACTGAATAAAATTCGATTATTGCATCTCACTCAGAAATATCAAGTCTTCAAGATACTTCTATCAATGTATCATGCACATCGTTGATAGATTGGGATGCAATCATATCAACAAATGTACCTTCTACGATAGGAAGAACAACAGCGGCCATTGTTCTATCATTCGTACTACCAGGAGTTGATATAGTCATATATGAAAAAGCCAAAGACTGGTATTCAAAGTCATCAGATGATCATTGAAGTTGAATCATATAAATAATAGACTTGATATACTGTATTGAGATAAACTTGTGTTGTTTTCCGGTTCTTTTTATTTTATTTTTATAATATCATATGAAATTATTATTATATTCGAAAGAATCTGAACATAAATATGTTTCCGTTTTATTTTCTAGATTTAGATCTATTGTTTTTTGTTTACATTATAATTGAATGGCTCAGAGCAACGATCCTTCAAATATTGTTCGTCCCAATGGTTTATCACAAGATGCTCAAGGTCATTGGTATGAATTAGGTTCGCCGACTCAAGTTTTACTTGAACAACAACAAAACTTGAATAATAATAAGAAGCATTCAAAGAAGAAAAAACGCCATGGTAATCGAAAACAACAACACCAACGACGCAGACTACGCCGTCAACAAAAAAAACAGAATAATACTACTACAAATCATACGGATCAAGGTATTTTAATTGTGATAGACGATACAGACGATAATCCAGAAGAAGATGGTGAAGAACAGCCAATTCAAGTACACTAATTGTTTTTGAAAGCAGAAAGAATTCTTTCTCCATATGTATTTCTTTATTCTATTTAGCAAAACGTACAGCACAACCAACATAGAACAGGATTAGAAAATAAACGTAAGCGGCAAGAAATTAATGAAGATGATATTCAAATCAGTCGATCTTTCAATCAATTATCAGTATCACAAAGAAATTTAAAAAAGACAAAGTCAACAACGGGAAATAATTCATCGAATAACGAAATATCGAATGTAGTCACTGATGCTAATGAAAAA